ATTTTTAGTGTAATAATGTTGATAATTTGTATGTAAAACACTTTGGCACATTTGGCACAAAAATGGACCACTTGTGCCGAATGTGCCCATTAGTTACAAAAAAGCCCCCGGCATCAAAATAAAGGTCAAAAATGTCATACTGTTGTTGCACACAGACATCTGCTCTTGTGAGTTTGAGCAACATACCATAAAGTACGTTTTCAGGAGAACCTTTTTAAATTCCCTTAAATTTTTTTCGAGACAAAAAATAATAACTTTGACTCATGTTTGAGAAGGTGTAGTGCAGACTGTGTCCTTTCCAACAAACTATAAAATAAATTTTCAGAAACTAGAAGGTGTTAACTTTCAAATGAGGCCTCATAACACAACATCAGACACAAGATGTCCACACAATAAGCGTTTCCATTTGGGTATCATAATTCGAGAAGGAACAGGCGAAATTAGGTGATCCTTAAAGACTTTTGAAGTAGCCAGGCAATACCCATATTGCTGTGTGCACGTGAATATTTTACATTAGTACCACATTACATAAATATTCACTTTTATTTAGTCAGATTAGCTAGGATAGTTTTTAAGCACAATCAGACCCGTATCCCATCTTATATTATTTTTGTGTAATACAGTCAAAACATCTACTTTTTTATAAGAATAGATGTTTGTATAAAAACCAAATCTAAGCCCAAGACAAAGAGGAGGGAAAGACAGAAACTGTGTTTTCAGCAAGTCTTTATTCATGTGTGCTGTCCGGTGTAACACACTTACAGCATTCACGCATCATTATGAAAAGATGGACATAGTTATGAGAGGTGTCCACAGGGCAGGGGCCATAGGACACCTTTCAGCAGACCATGTGTGCAGGAAAAGACAAACCACGATTGTGATTGGCCCTTTGAGCCCTAAGAGCCCTACTAAGAAGTTGTATACACTGTAAAAAGTGGAGAAAAAAAATTGCAGCAAAAAGCTGCAAATCTTACAAAAATTTTTAAACATTCAAAGTTATATTGGAATATTTTCACATGATTGTTACATGAAGTGGCAAGGGCCCCTAAAGCCTCATTTTGTGTAGCGCCCCCAAAAGGTCGACACTGTCATCAGACACTTCAACTCCCCTCTGCATTTTACTCTATTCTTTATTTTTTTGTCAGGCCAGTATGGGGACATCTTTATTTGTGCAGGGACTGTTCCTACTTATAATTAGAAGAAATTAGTCACCAGAGAACAAAACAACAGGGCTTCAGCTTTACAAAGTGTCCAGTCACTTCAGATTCCAGCCCACTGTGCTCTCTGGATCGAGCTCTTTCTTTGGACGAGGTGAGAGGAGCCTCATGCAGACCCCATTGTCCCGTACCCACGGGACACCTTCAGTTGGGACACATGCTTCATTCTGAGCTTATCACGATGTCTTTATCATACAATACAAAGATACAGTACAAATGCACGTAGACGGATGCAGGGATTTGGTGACAAGATGGGACCGTTCAGGACATTTCCTTTCTCTGTCTCTAATAATATCTCATTAACAAACGCAAAATTAGATTTTTGGCAATATCATAAATTGGATACCTTCAAGGAAGATAAAAAAAAAAAAATAGTCGCACTTTGCAGCAGTTATAGCAGCATGATGAGATAAAGAGGACAGTGTCATTTACATTTATTACAAACCGTGTTACTGTAGTGTAAGTAAGTCTTTGTTGCATTCATAATACTCTTTTTGGAGTTCTTTATCATCAAAAGTTGCAGTTGTTAGAGCTCTAGACTGATATCAGGGACTTCAAACAAACTTCCATTTTATTCAGATGCTCTGTTTTCAAACTCACTGTGATGAGGCCTATGCTGTCCAACAGAGCCGTTTTCTGCCTTTTTAAATGTTTTTCTTCACAAATAATTTTTTCAAATTTATTTTTAATTATATTTCAGCCCAAAAATCATTAGAGTTATAATATAATATATTATATAATATTAGTTAGAAATTACAGTCTATGGTTTGAGCACAAAGTGTAGAAGGTAAGAAATAGCCAGGACAATATCAGACAGTGTCTGTCTCCTGTTTCCAAAGCAACACCGCATACAGAAGCCATAATGGGACACATTATACAACTATACAATCATTACATAATCTATATCTCTGTATGTGTGATGTGTGCTTGGTACACTGAATTTTGTTTTTTGGAAGTGTCTAATGTGGTTGTAGTAGCTCACAAATTTTACACCTGATAAAAGTACTACATGCACAGTCCCTGTCCATGGGACCAGCCCGGCCCACAGGACATTACACACACTGCTCCTGTGTGCTGGGAAAAGGGCAGGGTCACACTAATATTATTATGAAAAACTAATATGAGAAGACGTTGTGCAAATTGATAAAGAAACTATACCCAATATATTTTCTAATGAGTTCATAATAATGTGTATAACTACATACAAGTTGTATTCCATAATTAATCCACATCCATAATTAAATTGAAAACTTTAGCTCATTGATTCAGCTTGTGTATGAATTTAGGCCTTAAAAATTGCCAAGTAGGACCTTAGAGTGACGCTAGCTCTCCTTCAATCACAGAACGAAGAGCAGCACTGTTACAAACAGGCTGCCTCCTCTGTCTACAGCGCATGTAAACACAGCAGCATGTTAGCAGAAAGCCGCTATAACTCCTCTGGCTGTATCTGCATACACAGCAAAACAGCAGAAACGACTATAACAGTGAGGAGGAGAAGAGGGAACTAAAGCGAACAAAAATTTCAAATAAGAAATCAAGCCCGGGTGAACATAGCTACCTGACATCATATCCTCTGGAGAGGCCTGCTGGTGCGGGACCGCCTCGGACTACATTTGGACGCAAAACTGGCGGTAATCCTTCAGTTATATATTTTGTTTGCAGTGCGTTGCTTTTGTACCATTTCATCAGTGATTGTTGTACATCTTGCAAGAAGTTGCGCTAATGCCAATGTTTGCAACGTATTAGATTGCAAATAAAACTAGATGGCTTTGTGGGAAGAGAGCGTAGGGAAATTGAGAAGCCTGGTGCTAAAGCTTGTAGGACATGTGCTAAGACCTAGTGCTAGAGACTGAAAGGTTGGACTGCAACTTCACATCCCTCTTAGACTTTGAGTAAAAAATGTATTTCAAAAAACATTAAAATACGAAATTATTTTTTGTACATAGTGCTCACCACTCTTGATATCTGTATATTGTGTTTCTCAATATACTTTCATGTAAGAAATGATACCACATTGTAAAACTGTATGAGAAAAAATTCTAAAGATCATGTTTTAGGGACAAACAAAAAACAATGTATGACCACACTGTAAAACGACAACTCAAAATTCACCTTACTAAGATTTTTGCATTCACTGACAATAAAATTGCCAGTTGGAACTTGACTGTCTGTTGTGAGCCCCTTGAACTCACTTTCAGAAGTTACTGATGAAAAGTTAATCTCATTAAAAAAATTCAGTTGATTTTACTTTGAAGTTGTAGTTGACACTTAGTCAGAGTGAGCTCATCTCATCTGCGCATGCTCATTTCAAATTTGTCATGGCAACCGGCTGCAACGGGGTTTCCAAGGATTTTCCCAGGAGCTCCCTTCGTAAGTTTGCATCCGCCTTCTTGTCACTTTGCTCGCCGTAACTTTTATTTGTAGCTGTCATAACTGTCTAGAGACTTCGGTATTGATTTTTCAGTAGAAGCTGTGTTTCACCGTTACTGTTATAGCCTGCATGTTAGCTTTTTTGTCTATGTTTAAAGTGAGGTTCAGATAATATGCCATTTTCAGCTGTGGATTTACATACTTGTGAATACTTAGGCACTTAACTGTTTACCTGTCATCTTTGGCAATACTGAATTATTTGTAAGGTCTCAACAGGAGTCAGAAAGTTAAAAAAAATATATATACTGAAACCTGATTTGTTTTGGACATAAGATTACTTGTTTACATTGTGGAATTGTAAAGCTGTTTCTGCCAAATTGGTTCAAATAAGCATACATAAATTAACAGGGGCGACAGTGGCTCAGTTGGTAGAGCATTGGCCCTAGAGCCAGAAGGTTATGGTTCGAGTCCACCACAAGACCTACTTCACGTCTCCCACTGATGACTGCTGTCGTTGTGTCACTTAACGCACTTTTCCTGAAGCCTTTGCTGAATAATCAAGTCTACTGAGGACTCACCACCTGCAGGAGGATCAGTGAGGGGCTGGTTCTCTGTGTACTGGGTGGAGCTCTGACTGCCACCCCCACGACTCAGAAATAGATTACGGGGAAGAAAATGGATGGATGGATGGAAATTGGCTGATTTACTGTCAGTGGATGATTTAATATGGGGGTAATTTAAACTCAAAATAGTAAATTATTACAGAGGACGGTAATCTGAACTTAAAAAGTAAGTTTTTACAGACTTGAAAGTGCCGGTAACTTGAATTAAAAAACGTAGCTGGCAGAACTTGAAAAACGTAGCTGACACAACTTAATAATTGTAGTTCTTCAAAACGTAAAAACATAAGTTGATGCATTCAACTCAAAAATTCTGTGTGGTCGGTTGCCTTGAAATTTTCAGTTGAACTAACTACTGTATTTATTTGTTTACAGTGCAAAAGCAGACCAAAGCAGAGAGAGCCTGCTGTGGCAAGCTTGATACGAAGGACCGAGGGCTGCACCATTCATCACAATTCAATCCAAATCACTATGTTGATGATTGCAATTAGTAAATCGCAAAGACTGCAAATATGGATGTTCTTTGCAAAAAAAAGGGGGTAAAGGAAATGTCACTTGATTTGAGTTATTTTTGAGGATCTGTCAATAGAACAAGTCTTGCAAGTCTGCATGTCAAAAATTCGCAATCGCAATGTCGGTCAGATAGATTAGAAGTAGAAATTTTTATCAGAATCGTGCAGCCCTTGACAGCCCTTTTGTGTACAGTTAGTTGGACAGGCTATAGCGACTCCCATTGATCAGCCTATCCTGGTCAGAACTGTAAAAACTCCAGTCCTGAATGGCCAGCTGAAGGTCACTTGGCGGGGCTCTTCTTAGTGATGCTGGCCCTCCGGTTAGCCACGCCCCCGCCCCCATGCCACAGCGCTGCCGGGATGGTGAAGGCGTCCACGCTCATACCCAGTGTTTTGGAGGGGATGGGGCAGAACTGTTTACGGTCTGAGCTGTATTTGTAGATGGACTGGATGTGGCTGCGTGGGACTGCCCGTGGACCCACCCCAGTGAGTCGCACCAGCTCCTGGGCATCTGGACTCAGCGTGTACACGCCACGGAACTGGCAGCTAGCATCCCGGAACAGGATGAGGAAGTGGTGAGCCTCACTCTTCTCCATCTCCTGCAGAAAGGAAAGAAAGCAGTAAAATAACTGGGGTTGACAGTAGCTTAGTTGGTAGAGCATTGGCCTTTGAGCATGAAGATTGTGGGTTTGAGCCTGAAGGTGGTGTGTTTAAGCCCACTTAGTAAGAGTTTGTAAAGTACCAAACTGCCATCCCCATTGCCTAGAATGAGTCTGGTGTTTGTGTGAATGGTTGGTGGTGGCCTTGCTTAAATTTTAAGAATGGTATTCAATTGACCTCCTGGCCTTAAATGTTGATATAAAATAAGTCATCATCATCATCATCATCATCATCATCATCATTAACATAATTAAAACCCTCAAACCATCTAAGGCCAGGGATGTCTTTGGAATGGATACAAACATGCTTAAAGATTCAGTATCCGCTCTGGCTACTCCCATTGCCTTCATCATTAATCTCTCAATTTCCAGTGGTCACTTTCCAAAGGCCTGGAAATCTGCTATTGTTATACCAGTTTATAAATCTGGTGTTCCAACCTCTCTGAATAACTACCGACCCATAAGCATTCTTCCGACCATTTCCAAAGTGGAAAAATGGGTGGCTGAGCAGGTTGTCCAGTATTTAAACAATAGCTCCCCCTCTTTTCACGCCATGCAGTTTGGTTTCAGATCCAAACACTCCACTGAAACGGCTACATGCCTTTTTATTGAGAAAATAAAATCTCTTGACAAGGGTGGAGTAGTAGGGACGGTATTCTTGGATCTCAGGAAAGCTTTCGACACAGTTAACCACTCTGTTCTACTTACTAAGCTCTCACAGTTTAATTTCTCTCGTGACACTGTGAGTTGGTTTGAATCTTACCTGCATGATCGTACACAATCTGTATTAATTAACAACAGCAAGTCTGAGTCTCTTAGGCTAACCACCGGGGTTCCTCAGGGCTCAATATTAGGCCCCCTCTTATTTAGCCTTTATATTAATGATCTACCAACTGTCTGCTCTGAAGTTGAATGTTTGATGTATGCAGATGACACGGTTTTATTTGTTCACGGTCGCTCAAAGGACATTGTTGCTGCTAAACTCACTAAAGCAATGAATCTTGTCACATCCTGGCTGCAGGAGAACTGCCTGCAGCTAAATATTTCAAAAACTGTAAGGTTTTTCAGTAAAGCCAATAGAGCCTCATTTAATCCTGACATACTAGTTGCTGGAAAAAAATTACAAATTGTAAATCAATACAAATATCTTGGGTTAGTAATCGACTCACACCTCTCCTTTAAAGCCCATATTGACAAATTATGCAAAAATATAAAATTTAATCTTGCCAATTTCCGCTCAATCCGTAATGAAATGTCAATCGAAGCTGCAATAATTTTTCTACATTCCATGATTCTCAGCCACTTTAACTACTGCCTAATAAGTTGGTCTCAGGCAAGTCAGAGCACCAAAAGACCTTTGGAAACATTATACAAACAAGCCATTAAAGTCATGGACAAAAAACCAAGACACTATCATCACTGTACAATTCTTAAAAAGTATAGCCTTTTAAACTGGGACAGTCTCCATAGATTTGCAGATCTGAGTCTCATATACAAAGTAATACATAATTTAGCCCCAGCTCCACTGGCAGAGTTCATCAGCCAAAGAAACAGCTTTGAGCGTGTCACTCGAGGCTCTGTAAGAGGCGACTGTGTAATCCCTCTGCGCAGGAGTGCTTTCAACGCTCGGCCTGGTCAGTGAGGGGCGCCGTTGAGTGGAACTCAATGCCTGAGGAGGTTAGACAGCTCACCACTTACAAGGCCTTTACGAAAAAATTGAAAAATTGGTACATTAACATGTACGTCTGCCAACATTAAAAGCTGAGCATGTTATGCTGTATTGTATATCTAACGTATCCTTTTAAACAAGTGTTTTTGTGTGTTTTTATATTGTAATCAGGTACTGTGTGCCTTTAGTTATTATACAGTGTCATTTATATTTTATATTGTTGTTATTGATGTGTCAAAGAATTGTAATGTTTTATCATGCTTGTATTTTAATGCCTTTTTACATCTTGGCCAGGGGACTACAGATGAAAAGTAGCCTTCTGGCTAATTCTGGCTTTTTTAACCATGTTTGTTCATGTGTTACATGAAATTGCACTGTCCCCTTTCAAATAAACCAATCTAATCTAATCTAATCATCATTTTCATCCCTTTATTTCCATTTCTGGTCATAAGTCATTTTATTAATTCTAATATTACGGGTAAGTCCCGCCTTCCCTTCTCTTAGCTATAGCTCAGAATCCACGATGCCGTCCACGTTTACCAACCAAGTGATGCCAAGGGCTGTCAATCATCGCGCTGATGCTCGTAGCTGTTTTGTCATGCTCAGTTGTTTGTTTTCGCGGAACCTCCGAATCAAGCCTCTATTAGTCTCTGGTTTCAGAGACTAATAGAGACTGGTTTCATGAAAACTGAACAAATAATTCTGAACATCCGCACTGAGTTACCCACTTATATACTGAACCTATATCCATAATCAGATCCTCTGCAGATGTGTCCTATAATGTTCAATTCATGATATACTTCCGGGTTTGCCGTGATCGCTTTTTTTGTGCATAAAAACATAATTTTTTTCATGATAACGTTAACAAATAATTCTGATCTCTCTCTGACCTCTGTGCATGTGTATTAATAATGTACTGTATATGTATAATGTATTTTCTCATTAACATTTAAATGTGTTACGGAAACGTAGGCGTAGACCAATCAGAAAGGAAGGGGGAGGGAGCTTGCATCATATTTTTCAAATGATGTACCTCTCTTTATTTTCTGACAAACTCCAGACAATCACTTTAACTTTCAGACAAGGTTTGTGAATCTGATCACTATCAAATATCAATTTGGAAAAACATTTGGACATTTTAAATGTCCAAATGTTTGTCTTTTGTTTTATGCACCACATTCACTAGCTGTCATTGCACTTATACACCTGCACCACGTTACTGATAAATACATGCTCACATCTTATACTTGTCTTTTGGTTAAATGTAATTCTTTTGACCCGTGCCTTTGCCAACCTTAATGTTGTTATAGAACGATTGCTGCCTGTTTGAATAATTTACTTTGCTCCCCTTTGTCATGGTGATTTTATTTTTGTAGAGGATTTATTTCGACTTAAATTATGTGGTTTTGTTTTATTTTGTGCTGAGTAGACACTTTGTGTGACGCTAGTTCTCCTCCCCTTGCACAACAGGGGGCACCTTGTCTAGCGTCTGCCCAGCACAGGTAAACAGAACAGCATGGCAGCTGAAAGTGGCTATACCTCCTCTGGCTGTAACTGCATACACAGCAACACAGCCCAAATACCGCAAAAGTAAGGAGGAGAAGACGGAACTAAAGCAAAAAAATATTCAAAAAAGAAATCAAGCAGGTGAATATGTCAGAGCCTCTGTGCTAGCTCAGAGGCTCTGACACATTAGAACCAATCTGACAAAGAAAGCCTCACTGTATTATGGGGCTTCATCTGCCCATCACTGGTAGAGTAGTTTATTTCATAAATCATATCTTTTCCTAAATGTAAGAAATAAAGAAATTATATAATATTGCTTGTATTTTTATTGTTATTATATAAAATGAAAGGGGGGGGTAAATCTCTCTCTCAGTTTATACCTGGGGAAAAATCTGGCCTAGGCTACTTTTTTACCCGGGTATATTCTGGCGGGGAGTTAAACTGGCCCGCTACACCGGTCCCCTCACTTCACCTCTACAATCTTGTTCTTCTGGCTCTCGTTGACCCTCCCAGCCAGACAGCAGCGCGCCAGAGCATTGTGAATGATGAATTTATTGGACTTGAAACTGGGCTCCTTAAACAGCTTTGGACCTGGGACGCACACACACACACAGGGGGAAATGTGGCAAAAGCATATACATTTCTGTGATTGGTTGTAAACTTTCAAGCACAACTGTAATCTCGGGGACATTACCTGTGTAGTCAGGGGCCAATGATGGACCGCTGCTGGAGCCCGTCTCAGTGTCTGCGCCCTGTGCGCATGGGGAGGAGGACCGGCTGAAGGACAGACAACAGGGCATGTTTATGTTAGATGACAACTTCTGTCTAAATGCTGCCGTCTCAAACCTGGTATGCCATGATGATTCCTCACACTAATACAGTGTGGGTCAAATTCAAAGATACTTTTGGCCCACTAAAACAAAAGCATTGTATCCAAATGATACCTTTGGGGTTTTTTGGCCTCACTGTTGCTGTTCTCACTGTCAGCAGTCGAGGGCAGGTTCAGAGATGAGTGGGAGTAGACTTTGGTCAGCCTTGGGCCTGCTGAGGGAAAAGAACACGACTCAAGTGAAGTTGATAATGACATACGGTACATATTTTCACAATAATCCAGCTGGTGAGCGTGTGCCACGCCCGCAGGCTATTATATCTGCTCTACTCTCTGCTTTCCTTCAGTCATGTTGTGTCCTGTTAAAACAGCTATTAGATAAGTATAATGTCTAGCGTACATCGGACTGGCAACTGGTTATATCCGTCGCATATGAGTTGCTGCCCCGCACATATCGACAATCTGACGAAAACGGGCAACTCCTAGTAGCAGACCAGTCTCGGGAATAACAACGCGTACATCGACAGCAACTGGCCGTCAACTACAGTGTGTTTTCTGACATAAACTGTTGTGGGCGCGCAATACACACACGTTGTCGGAGCGGCGCATGGAGCGCGCACATCGGGTCATATCTCCGAAACTGAAGACAACTAGAAAAGTAGAACACGGGCAACTGACTGAAACTGGAGACCGACTATTTATCTCCAGTTGTAAGAGCGCGCACATCGACCAATTTCGGCAACTGATCATCTCCCACCATCTCCTCTCAGTTGCCAAAAGCCGCCTTGCAACTAGTTGTCTCCAGTTTCTCTGTCGATGTACGCTAGGCTTAAGGCCCCGTCCCAATTCTCACCCTTGCCCTTAGGTGTGAGTACCCTGACCAGCAAAGTGCCTTCCCAGTGGGGAGTGCACTCACAACATTCTCCCTAAGAAATGGGACACCCCAGGATCTAGGGGACGATATGCAAATGAAGCAGCAGACGTGTTCCACGTCACACGCATTATAAAAGTGTCTGATTTCACCACAGATGAGATCTGACACAGATATGACTTTATGAAACACTGTATTTATTAAAATGAGAAGTTTTAAATTCTATTTCATATGAAGTTTTGCTATAATTAGGTACAGAACTGCTGCACATCACACACTAATGGTGCTTTCAGACCGTATCATGCGTTGCGTCGGGTTTCAATGCAAAGTCTATGGTGGCGCGCGTTCGCCCGTCACAACGCACGGACCTCTCGGCACGCACGAACGGACTGTTCAATAATGACGGACGGACTTGGCGGGAAAGTGAAAAGGGAGGAGCAGGAGCGAAAAAACAACGCCCACAGGAGATGGATTCTGCTCATCCTTTCCTTGGGACGTTCGTGCGACAACCAATCAGAGAGCAGCAAAGTGGTCACGGGGACATTAGCGGACTGAGCGAGCAGACTGAAAATACTCATAAACAGCCAAAACAGGACCCACACCAGACTTCACCAGAACTGAAACCAGGGTTGACATTGGGGGACTCTGTGCTTGTGAAAATATGCGTTGTCATGCTCCCGTGACCTTATGCAACGGCTTCGAGTCTGTTCGCCGATGCGGAAATTCCGTTCAATTATATCAAAAAAACGTGTGGCGCACCTCTGTGAACACATACTACTGTTGTATAAAGCCCGTGGAAGGTCTGTGAGCAAAGACACGCGGCAAAGCTGCATATTGGAGAAGATCTGTACACAAAGAGCCGGTAGCATAGCTCTGTTAGCATCAGAGCCGGCCGGCTACTTCCGGTACTTCTGGCTCGCGTGGTGTGAAGTCCTCTGCGTCTGAAAACTAGAGAATGCGCGTCTGGTGAGCGGGGCTTCAGCGTTTCAGCGTTGGCGGTGTGAAAGCCCCGTTAGAGACAGACGCACACACGCACGCACACAGACACACATGTACACACACAGAGGCAGAAACACACGCTCACACACAGATAGACGCATGTACATACACGTACGCACACAGAGACGTACCACACAGACACATGTACATACACATACGCACACAGAGACGTACCACACAGACAGACACATGTACATACTCGTACGCACACAGAGACGTACTACACAGACAGACACATGTACATACACGTACGCACACAGAGACGTACCACACAGACAGACACATGTACATACACGTACGCACACAGAGACGTACCACACAGACAGACACATGTACATACTCGTACGCACACAGAGACGTACCACACAGACGGACACATGTACATACACGTACGCACACAGAGACGTACCACACAGACGGACACATGTACATACACGTACGCACACAGAGACGTACCACACAGACACATGTACATACACGTACGCACACAGAGACGTACCACACAGACACATGTACATACACGTACGCACACAGAGACAGACGGGTACAGCCGCGGTTCCGTGGATCACAAAGCAAACTGTGTCAAAGCGATGCTCTGAACTATATTATGGATCTATAATAATAACATGGATCCACATCTCTGAATCCTCATGCCACACACTGCGGCCGCTTTGGGAGCGAAAGTCACCACACACGGCACCAACACACACTTTAAAAACTCTGAAAGACTTGCACACGCCTCGGAGCTTCCTCCCGTTCACCACAAACTTGCGCGCGGGTGTTTCATGTTGTTTTCTTTCATTGTGGCGCGGCTTTGCCTCACAGCTACTTCAGCAACAGCTATCGTAATGCATCATGGGATCACACTCGCTCGCATGTGAGCTCGGGACCTCACTTGCGCTCAAGGGGGGTTTTTAGGGGTGTGAAGGCCCTCGCCCCTTCTCCCTAAGTTTTGGGACAGCCTTCCACTCCCGCGGGCACGCGCAAACTCTAGGGCAAGTGTGCTTTTGCGGGGCCTAAGCATTGGGCAACAGTGGCTCAGTTGGTAGAGCATTGGCCTTTGAGCCTGAATGTCGTGGGTTCGAGCCCACCATAAGACAAACTTCACGACTTCCACTGATGACTGCTGTCGTTGTGTCCTTGGGCAAGACACTTAACCCCACTCATTTATTTTTCATTTGATCAACAAACGATTATCTTAATACAACAAAACAGTTAAGTTAAGTATAATTAACCCCAAAAGATGTGGGTAGAAGTTCAAAGAGCATCTACTCCCATGGCACTGACCTGAGGTGCTCTTGGCGGGGCTGAGGGACAGATGGGTGCTCTCTCGGGTCACACTGCGGGGCCGGGCTCGAGTCCTCTTCCCTCGTGCTCCGGTGGCAGGCTTCTGCTTGATTACCTTGTCCAGGTCGTCCATGATGCGGAGCTGATGCCGGCAGGCGTACTCCCCTCGGGTGAAGTCTCCGCGCCGGGATGGGGTGGCTGGTGGGGTAGAGGAGGCAGAAGGGAGACCAGCGGGGGATCTTGAGGGAGAGGCTGCTCGTTGATCAGGACTAGCCAGTCTGTTGGCTCAGCAGAAGGTAAGGGACGAGAGGGAAGACACGTTCAGTTATATTTTACTGAAAGAGAACATCACGTGTTAAAGACTTCACAGCTTTTGACAAAATTATAGCTTTTTGACAGTTGCCTCATTGTGTCTATGTAGAGCGCCTTGTTCAAGGCCTTTCACATTTAAGACTCATTGACCCATCATACACTCAGAAACTGTTTGTAGCGTGTATGTGTTGTTGCTGGTGTGTGTAGGCTGTTGTGTTTTGTTCTGTAAGGACCTTGTATCTGTCTCTTGCTCATTCCACTGCCTCCTCCTCCGCAGCTCCTCACTTCTCTTCTGCTGTCGTTCCAGCAGTGCGGCTCGGCGCTGGGCCATGTCCTCCTCTCTGTGTGCCCCGTCCTGCAACATAACAAAACATAACACCACAAAACACAACAAAACACCACTCAACACCTCACACAGCTGTGATCACTGCAAGCATGAGCCCTTGTTGAGCTTTAGTCACACGACTGTTGCATGTGGCAGTGAAGAGACAGGAAGAAAGCTTTGAAGTGTGTCTGACCATGTAGAAGAGGCCAATGGCTCCTCGCGGCTCCTCACGCCTGTCACTGCTAGAGGCGTCGCTCTGTGGGGGCCCATCTGCTGTGAAGGTGTCACTCTGTGGGTGTCCGTCTGCACCGCACTGGTTTTGTGGAGCTGCCTGTCGGTGGAGTACGCAATATATCAAGTTTTTTTCAGTAATCAACTATTTCAGCAATGCCATGCATTCCATCCAGCCATTTTCTTCCGCTTTCCCCATTGCAATTGTATTTGCATGATATCACCCAGAGCTCATGACCATCAGGGTGGAACATAGATGGACATAGATTTTGCCTTTTGACTCAGCACCCTCTTCACCACAACACCCCAATACAGCTGCCGCATCACTGGACGCGCAGCACCAAATCGTGTGTCAATCTCATTCTCCCCTCTCGCCAAGGACTCGCTCTCCAATACTGGGGAGACCGCTGATGAGGTGTGTGGCCACAGAGCCTGGGACTTCATTCATGGTAATAAATCCAAACGGCCATAAATTCTCTAAAAAATTACACGTATCATTCAGTGGACACCAGTGTTGGGAGAAACACAATACTAAGTAACGCCTTACTGTAGCAAAATTACAAATTGAATAACGTAGTAGTAACGCGTTATTATGATAATATGTGAAATTACAGAACTGAACCCAGCCCCCTTCATCTGCACCTGTGGACTGCCCTGTCCGGCGACTCGTGGGTGGCACCCCCTCCATCCCTGGGAGCTGCTTCAGTCCTGCACCCCACCTGTCCTCTTTCTACAACGGTCCTTGTTTTGTATCTTGAGTCCTGGACAGGGATCTATTATAATACTTGGATAGGGTATTACTTGCTTGGAGCTGAAGGACCCCCCATGTGCTCAGGGGATTCTTGCGGTGCTGCAGACTAAACGAGACGAAATTCACATGAGCTACCCAGAAATTTTCCCAATAGAACTCAAATCTGAAACCAACTGGGACTTCCGATGAAGGAGCTGAATACATGCTCTCATGACTCTCTGAGAGTGACCAAATAAACCCCTAAAATTGCCCTAAAGGTACTGCTGCGAAGGGAGAGTTGGGATCTACTGTACATACTGACTGTACGCCAGAGACAACTCAAGTACTGAAGACCAAAAACCAAGGCTAAGAAGAGCCACGAGCCAAACAAAGCAGGAATGGATATCATCACCCTAAAAAGAAAATCTATGACTAATGCTTACTGACATCAAGGTAGACATTTCAACATATATCGGGGAGCTACGTGTGGACTTTGGTAACATTTCGAACAAAATTACACAAATTAGAAACAACTTGAAAGACATCCGCCAGAATCAGAATGAGGCAACGGCTAGTATCACAGAGGCACAATCAAGAATAATTCAAGTGGAGGAACGCGAAATCACAAACACACTGATAAGGATTAAGATTACGGGGATCCTTTATTTATCCCACAGCGGGGAAATTTCAGTGTTCCATCACAAGTTTTAGAACAGTAGGAAAGAGGAGCACAAGTTAAAGGAACAATATGTAAACATCTGGCCAATTGATGTCCAAAATAGGAGTGGGAAGAATGGATTTTGGAACGTATTTCTTCAGCGTATCAACATCAGGGTTTGCTCCAGAGGATATCACCTTTCAATTTTATTTATCCCTATTTTTTATACAAACATGTATAAGTCCCACATCAAAAAGAGACTAACATTATTTTAATTGGGGTACATGTGGTCTTAAATGATTCTTTTTACAATTAAGCTATAATCTGCAAAAAAACGTCTTGACCTTCGTCTTTTACCGTTTTTAGAGCAATCTGTCATTGAATGTGATAACAGGCAATAAAATACAAAAAGGCCCTGCCCGGAATCGAACCCGGATTACTGCATCGTGAGCACAGAATCTTAACCACAAGACCACCAATTCACGCAATACAAAACTACTCTGGAGAACGGACTCAAAGCAGCAAATTTTGCATCACACGTAAACTTATCAGCTGTCTCAATTGTTCAAAGGCGTCCCGATATAAATCCTCGTTTTAGTCTTTGTTTTGTCATTAATTATTTGAGAGTCATAACAAGACCTTTTTTAGTTCTGCGGCCACATGTTATTTTACCACTGAGATTAGTGAGCCGCGCGGAGTTCTGGCAACCCAATCACGGACTTACATGACACTTCCTGATTGGCGAAACGGCGGAGGGTAGGACATCAAAATCAAAACAATAACTTTTACGGGTCGTAAAACTAATTTTGAAATTCAAATATCTCGGCTGAACTACTGTTGTCAGTTAAAGATGTAGTCGAAAAGAGCATGATTTAATACGCCTTTTGAAATATGGGGGCCATTTAAAGTGATTGTCTGGAGTTTGTCAGACAAAGAGGTACTTGATTTGAAAAAAACGACGCAAGCTCCATCCCCCTTCCTTTCTAATCAGAAATGTCAACACCTACGTTTCCGTAACACTTTGAAATGTTAATCAGAGAACATATTATACATATACATTATTAATACACATGCACGGAGGTTTTCTGAATTATTTGTGAACGTCCATCCATCCATCCATTTTCTTCCGCTTTATCCGTTGCCGGGTCGCGGGGGCAGCAGTCTAAGCAGAGACGCCCAGACTTCCCTATCCACACACACCTCCTCCAGCTCGTCCGGGGGGACCCCTAGGCGTTCCCAGGCCAGCTGAGAGACATAGTCTCTCCAGCGTGTCCTGGGTCTTCCCCGGGGCCTCCTCCCGGTGGGACGTGCCCGGAACACCTCCCCAGGAAGGCGTCCAGGAGGCATCCTGAACAGATGCCCGAGCCACCTCAACTGGTTCCTCTCGACGTGGAGAAGCAGCGGCTCTACTCCGAGCTCCTCCCGTGTGACCGAGCTCCTCACCCTATCTCTAAGGGAGCGCCCAGCCACTCTGCGGAGGAAGCTCATTTCGACCGCTTGTATCCGCGATCTCGTTCTTTCGGTCATTACCCACAGCTCATGACCATAGGTGAGGGAGGGAACGAAGATTGACCGGTAAATTGAGAGCTTTGCCTTTCGGCTCAGCTCCCTCTTTACCACAACGGTCCGATACAGAGACCGCATCACTGCGCACGCTGCACCGATCCGCCTGTCAATCTCACGCTCCATCCTCCCCTCACTCGTGAACAAGACCCCGAGATACTTGAACTCCTCCACTTGAGGAAGGACCTCTCCACCCACCTGGAGAGGGCAAGGCACCTTTTTCCGGTCGAGCACCATGGCCTCGGATTTGGAGGTGCTGATTCTCATCCCAGCCGCTTCACACTCGGCTGCAAACCGTCCCAGTGCATGTTGCAGGTCCTGGTTCGTTGGAGCCAGCAGGACGACATCATCCGCAAAAAGTAGAGATGAAATCCTGTGGCTCCCGAACCGGACCCCCTCCGGCCCCTGGCTGCGCCTAGAGATTCTGTCCATAAATACAGTGAACAGAACCGGTGACAAAGGGCAGCCTTGGCGGAGGCCAACATGCACCGGGAACAGGTCTGACTTACTGCCGGCAATGCGAACACAGCTCTGGCTCCGGTCATACAGGGACCGAACAGCCCTCAGCAGAGGACCCCCGGTTATTTGTGAACGTTTTAATGAAAAAAAATATGTTACAAAAAAGCGATCGCGGCAAACCAGGAAGTGCTATTATCATGAATTGCACATTATAGGACACATCTGCAGAGGATCTGATTATGGATATAGGTTCAGTATATACATAAGTACCTCAGCGTGGATGTTCAGAATTCTTTGTTCAGTTTTCATGTGGTTCCAGAGCCTAATAGAGGCTCCGCGAAAACAAACAACTGTGCATGCGCGCAGCTGCGAGCATCAGCGCCAATGATTGACATCCCTTGGCATATCTCGATTGGTTAACCTCGACGGCACCGTGGAGACTGAACTATACATAGTTCCCACATGACGTCACTACATACGGGGATTTGCCGACCCGGCGCCATTTGTATTGGCATGCTGTGGGCAAAACAATAGAAAAAGAAGCTGAAACGTGTTAATGTCGTGATAAAGTTGAAAATGGTCATCTCCTGCTGGGTCAATGGATGTTCAAATCGTGCCGGAGGTTCCGTTAAACTTGGATTTTACAGTATACCCATCATTAGACTTCATGAATGTGAGAAGACTAAGCTTTTGTCAGAACAACCACGGAGGTTATGGCTTGCGAAGATAAACAGGCAAGAAACTCCCTCAAAACACGCAAGAATATGCTCGGAGCACTTTGTGTCAGGTGCGTATCGTATCTTATAATGTGTTGACAGACGTAATTTACTCAGTACTAACTTGTGTATGCTGATATCTGGTAACTTGAGAGTTTCATTATTTAGCGTTAGATTACTTTATTATGAGGAGGATCGGTGTCGCGTCCGAGGCTCTCGAGGGCAACGTAAATGTATTAAATAGATAATAATAGTTCTATGGTGGGCTAAAACAATGTTCACAAACAGCATTGCTTCTGTAAAAAGATCTGTGTCATAAAATAAACTGCTCTTTACGCCTGGAAAAATCAGTTGCCCACCATTCACCAAAACATACGGTCAAAAACGCGGAAATAAACAATAACAGCAATCCAGAGTGTCCGTGTGGCATTAGCATTAATTAAATTAATTGTTAATATAATTAAAATAATTAAATGGAGCTCCAACTGGTATTAAATCTAAAGTTTTTGAGAAATGTTTGCATTGCTTGTTAATTTTTGCTGCATAATTTGATCAAATATGTAAAACATGTCCGTAGCACGTTAAACTGTGGTGCCATTGTATTAATATACAATTATTTGCTCAAAAGTTGCCCTTTTTTTTTCCAATTTGCGTTTGAATATCTACATTTATTCTCATTCTTCTGTTTAATGGAATGCACAAACACAGCAGCGTGCCATCAAAGATGGCGTCTCCGAGGAGGTCATGTGACATTCATTGGTCTGTGGGAACTATGTATAGCTAAGAGCAGGGAAGGCGGGACTTGCCCGTAATATTAGAATTAATAAAATGACTTATTTTATATCAACATTTAAGGCCAGGAGGTCAATTTAACACATTTCCTAAAATTTGTAATTAATTTAGAGTTACAGACTATCACTTTAATGATGACTTGACATGCAATTATTACATACTGCTACTGTGAACAATAGCTA